GCGTGTGTGTGCGTGGTTTGATTTAGTATCATTATTTTATCGTGAGTTGTGAAGAAACATACCGTTTAAATAAAATATTCTCCTTCTCCTACAATATTTGACAAAATCATAGTTTACAAATAAAGTTCGTATAGGTTTAGTAATAAATATCCAACAATTGTCAACTTTTATTTTATTTCGGAAAATAAAATTTTATAAAACTTGAGGGATAAAGAAAAATGGTTTTCATATTTATATTCAATGTACGCAAATTTACACAAATTTCTAATTGATTAGTGCAATATAAAAGGTGCATTGGGCAGTGTTACTCTACAGGAAGTGATGAGTTTACAGAACATCATTGGAAATTAATAGATAGTTTTCTAGTTATAGGTCTATAAACAGCAAACCATTTTTCAGCAACAAAAACCATATCGATTGATTTGTGCTGAGCTCACATAAATTTTATATGAATTGTTTTCAACATGCAAGTTATATGAACAAACTTTTGACTGCAATCGGTGTTGCAATAAAGCAAGATATGAAATTTGTATTCACGTAAATATCCTAAGCGAGTTTCACCCTATGTTGTTATGCCCTTTGCGTATGTATTTAAAATCGAATACCTTTTTTAAGTAATCACACTATATGAAGAAAAGTAAGGGACAATGGAACTATCATTTATTTCCTGCTACTATGCATCAATGTTACTAAAAATAGAAAGACACGTCAATTATACAATAGTCGATATACGTTGCCAATGATTAGAGTCAGTCCATTTCGTTCTTGTGCGCTTGTCGGTCATAATTCTAATTCTTATGTACGCGATCTTACTCTTTGGCGCGCTCCAAACGTTAACAGGTAAACAAGAATTCTCAGTGATGCTATTACTATCAGATAGTTAATTTCTTAAACTTTTTTTATCTGATTACAAATATAAATAGTAAATAAATAATGATAGTCAATAATGATATCAGTCAATTAACTTCGTTACAACATTTGAGGCAAGATAAGGACATTCTCGTAACGTCGCTTAATTTTTATGCACAATAGTTCGGACGGAATTAAAGGAAAACAAAAACACAAAGTTCTTACGAAAAATTAATGCAGAAGACTGTTAAAACGGTTACACAGAAAAAGTGGGATATCGTAAAATGGCTGCAGATTTTAATTTACCCAAATTTACATTAGAGAGAAAAGTGGCTTTTCGCGATGAAAACCCTTACTAAATATTTATGCAAGACTAAGTAGTTTATGATCTTTCAAAACTGTGTTTTCAATTAATTCCCCGTATTTACAGACATAAAATCGCAGTTTTTACAGACACAAAATTAGTGAGCATAATTTTTCTTAACGGTCCCATTTTGCCCCTCCTTTCTCTATACTGAAAATATAGAAACATCCTATATATAACCATTTCTTCACACAAGTTCAAAACGAAAGACGTACCTTTTATCCTTTTACAACTTGAGGCTTTATTTAAAAATTAAAAGTTTGACTTTTAAGACACACTATTTTAATATAACCCTCGAAGGTTGTAACAAGTTTCTCTCTTTTTTAGAAATATTGTACATACATATTACAAATATAACATATTTGGTATAACGCTTCAATTAGACTGATTAAATCAAACTTTTACAACAACACCAGTCCAAAGAAAACACAGTTCCCATTTTTCACACATAAAATTAAGCACTATAAAATAATATAAGCGTATATTAACATTAAAACAGACTTCTTGCAGTGAATACTTATGCATTTTTGTAATTCATTCATTGCTAGAAAATAAAATAAGTTTATTACTTTTAAATAAGGACAAGGCATATAGCTGTATATAAAACATATTATTTCAGACGTGCACCAGAATAATATTTCATTAATCGGAAGTATAAACTTACTACTTGTGTAATTGGTCTTACAATCTGACAGGTATGGTCAAGATTAAAGTATTAAGGTATGAAGGGTGTTTCACTAAAAATTAGCATTTTATTACCTCCGTTGTTTCTCCAGATGTAAAAACATGTTATTAACAAAAAGTGTTCAATATCCTGAGAGCTGTAATGCGGCAATTACAATTTTTTTGTAAATAGAAAATTTGTTGAATCTTCAAAGTCACCTTCATATTTTAAAATGAAATTACATATATTTTTACGTAACAATTGATGTAGCTTCTTATTCTCTGTAAAAAAATTAACTTATATATGTATGTCGAAAAGTTTGTAATTTAGAAGATATTTAAACTTCAATTTTATTAAGTCCCTTAGATCTTAATCCTCATATTTTCGTGCTTATTAACTGACAGCAACTGCCAATGGAACAGAAACTCGAACGTAGGTTAATGCGGTTCTTATATAGGCTATAGAGCTACATCAAATATTACATAAAGAAACATGTGATTTTATTTTAAAAGATAAAGATCATCTTGAAATCTCTAAAATTTTTCATAATGAAAAAATTATTACTGTATACTGTCACTCTATAGCCATCATTATATTAACCCTTTGCACTCGAGAGGTGACTCTCAGTCACCACTTGATTTCATGTAGTAAAACTATAAAATTTGATATTCAATACTCAACTATATATAATGCATCGGTATGTGAAATATTGGGATAAAAAGCTTTGTTTCTCAATTCGCTTGCAATTTTTCTTTGAGTTAATTTAAAAAATATCGTCTGTGTCTAGTTAAAAAATGTTAAATATTTCTAACGAAATACTTCCGAGTGCAAAGGGTTAAATAACTTTAGTTAACAATTCTGCCATATATTTAGAAACATCGGAAATAATTAAATATTAATTTTTAGTGAAATATCTTGTATGTGTACAAAAAAGAAATGATATATCTTTTAGATTGTTCACAAAGTATTACCATCCAAGACAGCGCTATTTTTCAATTGCGACTACATTCATTTTTAATTAGCTACTTAATCCATAGTATATCTTGGAGATGAGAAGAAAACTGATTGAAGCTCAGCTAGTTGACACAAAATTTTCAAGTATTCGTAACAAACAAACGACTGTGTACCTGATTTTCGACTTATGTTGTCGAAGTAAATACTGTCTGGACAAAGTGCAACATATTTAGAATTCTAGTTTGTTTATGATGAATAAAAAGTTCTAGGAAACCATGGAAACAAATAACACTACATTTTATTGTAGAAAAACTAATGAACTTATATATCTCAAATTCTCATTAATAATGGAAAACAAGAAATTAGTTAAACTTTGTATTAATTAAAAAATGGTACAAAGTAACAATTTCGTTACGGTGCAGGCAATTTGGAATCGTAGTCTGCCAAATTATTTTTACCGTGCAAAATTAAAAAATAAAATATAAATAACTAGAATTATTCTTTATAATTTAATAAAGAAAAATTAGAAAAAGTACTTAACCGTTCGAGTGTTATGAGTCTTCGCGAAAACCCGGTCGAAAAGTGCCAAAGTAATTGCGCTTCTTTTGTTTCAGCTCAAAAACTAAATTACGCTGTTCTATTTTCATAAAACAAATTTTAAATGGTGCGATCGATCCATTTTTCTGTTTCTACGCGGATAATAAAAAAAAGATAAAAACAAATGATTACAAGGAAAACAAATAAATAAACTTATTGATATCCTATGAACCGATAGGCTAGCACTTTTAAGTAGTGTAACGGAGAAGCGCGGTAGCACAGTTTAGCACTCAAACGGTTAGAGTTCAAAACAAAAGTGTTATTTACTTACAATTAGTAAAACTTCTTAATTATTTCACTAAAACAATTATACCCTGCACTCGAACACAAATAATAAGCTTCTATTATATAATAGATGCAATACTGAACAATTGCATCTGCTTAAAAAGATACAAACTTCAAACCGTTACAAAAATGTACATTGCTACAAGCTATTCTAAATTATAATCATCTTCGGTATTTCCCAATATGTTACATTTTGTATACTTGAAATGACCATAAAAATAACACAAAACTATTGGATTAAGGGGATATTTTATAGGGAAGATTCACAAAACTGGTCGTTCTTAACCTTCTGTAAATGAAGTCGAATATGTTACAAGTACAACTTCTTCACAAATGATATCGGTTAATAGATTACTCGTTTCTAATATACTTTCCTATTAGAAAAATTAAATAATTTTAATCATGTTTTAGATTTTAGATACTATGGTATTCCAAATGACCAATATGTAATATTTCAAATGTGCTGCATTTACTATTTCCCGGCATTTAACGTAACACATATAGGTTGAAACAAAGTTTTTTTTTAATTTCCTGAATTATTAGATGTCACGCCGATCTCATTGCAACGCAACACATAATTAGATTATTATTGTATTTATATTATACTATGGTAACTGAACAGCGCATTCATCCTGAAGAACCGTAAACTAGAAAAAATAATGATACTATCATACTTGTACTAAAGTTCTTCAAGGATCCTCAAAGTTTTAAAAACTCAGAATTTCCAAACTACGTTACTGAGATTCCCATTTAAGAAGAACGCAGTAAACTGAAAACTCTATTAAAGTTAGAAGCGAATACTGTCTTTTTTATCTAGTAAAACTACTGATCGAGAATTCCTTTTTATGTAATTCTCATGTTTGAAATTAATTCATAAAGAATGTAAATTTGCATGAACAGTTTTTTCTCTCTAATACTAATGGTTAAGACAGCATTGTATTATCCTCAGACTATGTTTTCGTAATATAATTGAATAACAAATATTTGGTTACAGATTGCACACGATCGATGTGGAAATTGAGGGAGCTATGCAGTTGACATATTATACAATTTGATAAGGAAAAAGGAGTACAAGAATATCGTTGTATCTTGCATGTGAAGACGAGTGAAGCGTAAGAAAGAAAAGTTGTAGATAGACCGAAGTTGAAACAAAGATGCGTTGGATCGATACATGACATCTAAGAAACAT